ACAGGATACATGTCATGATATTATACCAGGCAAATATTATTATTATTTCTACATGTATATCCTGAAACCAATATGTATATTAAAAACATTAAAGGTATTACAAAGTTTTGGTAAATTTTGAAAATTGGCTGGATAGTGATTCTTTACAATTATGATATATTTGGATGCCCCTATGGATGTAATATAAGCACTTAAAAATTTAGCCCCTAAAACACTTCTCCTTTCGAGAAAAATTGATTATACAAATTTACCGGTGCTCCCGGTAAATTTTGATAAATTTCAAATAGCGCCTACGACCATACGATGGTAGCTGCGACCATGAAAATCTCAGAATATGTAGTTGTGGTATATATATTCCAAACGGTAATAGCAAATCAGTCGGTTTTATTCAAAGAACATTGTTTTATAGCTAAATTAATATATTGACCTTGAGAGGGCACTATACAACATAAAGAGTTTATTATTTACAATTTCATCAGTTTAGACTTGATTTCAACCGCGACAACAATCACTGAATATTGTAGGATCGCCTATGCTTCCAATATGTTCATTTGAACCAAATTCATGACCCCATACCAAAACTTTGTATTACCTTTAAGGAATAATGGTAATGCATTCATGAAATGGATTGCATTTTATGTAACGGTAAGTCAATTTTTATGCATGTAGGTAAATATATAAAAATTGTACAACGTTTAATAGTGTGTTTCGTTTTATGTTCTACATGTATGTGCACTGTAATTGTAAAATTATTGTACTTTGTCACAAAAACAATGGAAAACAGGATTTGTATGTATTACATGGATCAATAAAGATGTAATGAAATAAATGAAATGAGATAAATCAGTATTCAAAGGGGGAAAAAGCTTCTTTTAGTCAACAAAAACTTTCTGAATATTGTAGTTTCAGTCTTTTTTCAACAATTTCAACCAAGAAAAGGTGTACACAATTTCAACCGAGAAATTTTTTATAATTTTACAATTAAATAAAGTTAATAAACAAACAAACAGATGGCAGTTAAGAGCAGAAAAAGCTCAAACTCCAATGTCACACAGGCCCCAAACACAAATGTATGGTTTACTGTTACCATTGTAATGCCATGCAGGATAACCACAAATTTTAGTATAAAAAGAAGCCTGAATGGAAGAAACGTTTGACAAAATGGGACAGATTTGTTTAGCGGTTTGACTTTCTTCACGCCCACTGTTGGTTTAGTTCATCAAGGACTGTTTCTCTTGCTTTGTTTGATGCACCACTTGGCATATTTTAGCCAGCAATACGGATGTTCCCATGGGACCATGGTAGTTTAAAATTTAAGTTTGCAGCACCTCATCGTTTTAAACAATGACGAACTAACAACGCACACAGGATCACTTGGGACAGAAATTATGAGTGTTCAAACTACTAAACTATAAGTTGAGCAAGTAGTCGTTTTAATTTCAGGCTGGTGAAAACCCAAAGTTAATTTTGTCAGAATGGCCGGCACATGATATCAAGTGAAGATCCCTCAATCTCCCCCTCCTTTTGCCAAAAGACAAAAGATTATAGGCATTTTACTACTTTAACAAACTTAAAGGTAATACAAAGTTTTGGTATGGGGTCATAATTTTGGTTCAAATGAATATATTAGAAGCATATGCGATCCTACAATATTCAGTGATCGTTGTCGCGGTTGAAATCGAGTCTAAAGTTATGAAATTGTAAATAATAAACGCTTTATGTATAACTAGCTCCCTCTCAAGGTCAGGATATTAATTATGCTATAAATCAATGTTTCTTGACTAAAATCGATAAGATTTGCTTTTCCCGTTTGGAAATTATATACAACAACTACATATTCTGAGATTTTCATGGTCGCAGCTACCATCGTACGGCCGCAGGAGCTATTTGAAATGTATCAAAATTTACCGGGAGCACCGGTAAATTTTTATAATCTATTTTTCTCGAAAGCAGGAGTGTTTTAGGGGTTAAGATTTCTGGTGCTTATAATACATCCACTGGGGCATCAAAATATATCATAATGGTAAAGAATCACTATCCACCCAATTTTCAAAATTTCCCAAAACTTTGTTAAAACTTATAAAGTTTCAAAACCATAAATACGCCCACACAGCCCTAATTGACTACAAGGTAAAAGTTCAGTACCTCAAAGTTTAAAACCACTAGCTCTAACTTAAAGTTGATGGACTCTCATGTGAACGCGACTAAAACGTACATTCATGGAAGGACGGATGAACCATCGCTGAATGTGGAGATTGGCAAAACAGATAGTATACACACTGCATGCCGTTCTTTTATCAATGGACGGCTCTGTTTGCACTCTTCTTTCTTGTTATTGTTGTTATTTGTTTGTGACAAATCATCCACTGCATATTTCCCATCATTGCTGCAGTACATGCATGCAAGCAAAAACTTCACACCTCAATTGCCTTTCAAATCTTTGTATACATGTGTGCCTTCTAACTTGTTTCGCCATGCAGAAATGAATTAACCTGTAAATGATTTTAAAGATACTATGTCCCTTTTGCAGCCAACATCAAATTCTTTAGAACTTTGCAGGTATTATTAGTATGTCACGTATGTCCTATAGATCTGTGAAATGTAAATGGAGTATGCTAGTATTCAAATTATGCAAGGAAACCCATTCAATTTCTAGACTTCACTGTCAGACACTATTGAGTGACATTAGAACTGACTTCTTTTTCTTTGGTAATAACATACTGTACATAAAATGAACTGTAAAGGTTACATGAGCATTTGTCTACATCAATAACCCACTTCTTGCAATGGCCAAAATCAAACTGATTGAATCTTTGCACAGCATAAAATGTATGACCATTCGATACAAGGGTCTGAAAATCAGACCATTTACTAAAAGGATTGCAATCCCTAAAGTGATTTGACAACTAACAGTCGTTATTTTCCCACAAAAAGACATTTTCAAGCCCTTTCGTTTTGAGGGAAGTTCTATAAATTAGTATTATCTTTCAAATGCCGATGGAAATTAACCTTCTCATTTTGGGGGCCTGCAAATGGGACATACATGTAGTACCTTTAACATTTGTTGTATGTGTGCCTTCCCACTTGTTTCGTCATGCAAACATGAATTAACCTGTAAATGATTTTCAGGCTTCAATGTGTTGCACAATACAGGAAATGATCTGACAGATTATAAATAATCAGTGGCGTCTATTCAATGATATTTGTATCTTTGCATAGCGTGTGTGAAAAGCCAAAAAAGTTTAATAGTCCGGGGCTAAGCAAAGTACGAGGCTGAAACAAGTGTGAAAAGCATATATCTCAGAGAGTCTTCAGTGAGAGAAAAGTCAAAGCATTACATAAGGCCTGTTGGTCATAAAACTTAAGAATAATCCTGGTGATTGACAACACCTGATATTGGTTAACACCTGAACAGAGTCTAATTTCCCATTATAAGAGCCCACTTCTATGTGCCTTTAACTAATTTTAGTTGCCTAAAAATCTAATTTGGTTTCCCTCAGACATAGGACAATTGATGTTGTCACGCCATGCTATTTCGCTAGAAATTATGTCTTAGCATATGTCATCATACCCATAAAAATACTGTGTTAATACCAGATAAAGAAGAGAGAAATCTAAAAAATAATCCCAAATCAAATAAGACTTTGAACCTTTCTTATTCTCTGAACCCTTTATGGATGTGAATTCATTATTGTCTTTTGAATACACAACTAAATGTCAAAACAGGAACGTGATGAAATGTTATAGACCCTGATGTATCCTCACATAAGACCCGTCTATAAATGTACATTAGCTCGAGTTTGCCAAATAACCCACTATTTCAACTATCCCGATCGCAAATTAACCAGTTAGTTTGCGTCTTCGTCAGCCTTAAGTTGCAATTAGCAGGATATTTGGTCGAGATAATCATCCCAAAATATCTTGGGCTAGTTGCAAAATATCCCGCTATTTGTCCGGGGCGGCTTTACCAGCCCGAAGACTCGCACTATGCACGAACGCTGAGCAAAATATCTTGAGCTAATTTCTCAAGCTCGAGTTTCAAGTTTCAAATCGAGTCTCAAGCTGATGCAGACGCGATTTGTAACTTCTGGATATTTCCCAAATCAGAACTAGCGGGCTATTTGGCAATCTCGAGCTGATGAGGACAGGCCTATAGAGTTTCTTGTTCTTAATAGACATGAATTGTTTGTCTAATTTTGAAATTCAGCACCCAAATATCTTGTCTGTTTAGAGTTGTCAGTCCCAGAAATGGACCAATGAAACTAAAAGCATATTGGCTGAAAGAATTTGGGGGAATTAGTTCCTGTTACAAAAATGCATTGATATTTGCTTATAACATGTCCTTCAAGATTTTGTTGATAAAGTCAATTATACGACAACCATATTATCATCGCACAGAAGCATCACACAGCAAATATTGGGACGATAAAATAAAATATGATATAGAAAAACAAACAAATTAAATGCCACACTCAAACATTTTACTAGAAGAGTTTCATACATACAGGGAGCAGAATCATTCTAGATCTAGCCAGTTGAGACATGTATCTAAATTGGGGAAAGCACACTTCACACTAAACACTCTTTGAACCAAATAACTCACAGGTACATGTATGATGAAATCATAGGGAGGCAAGTTTCCATTGGGCTGTCATGCTGTACATAAATATCAAATGTTTAATATAATCATAAGGTGTGAACTCAGGGAGGTGTGGATTTATGAAACGATTGTTGAATATTTATTTGAAATTGAGCATCTACACAACTAAAAAATAATTAAAATAATGAACACTTTCTCCAAACATATCATCAAAGAGAAACCAGCCCATTAGCCTTAACCCCCCTCACCCCCCCCCCCTCCCTCCCTCAATGGAAAGAAAATGAAAAGACAGAATGAAAGATTGAAATCAAGAATGAATTTGTGAAAATAATCGAAAATGAAATTTACAAACGAAATAAAACAAAACAAAATCAAAATTATAAAAAAAGTTGATTCTTACCTTAAGATCTAGGTGGCAAATGTTCCTGTCGTGCATATGTTTCAGAGCCTCGAGAATCTTCTTGACAAACTGAGCTGCCACCTCTTCGTTGACATGGTCCTCCTCTGCCAGATAGTGGAACAGTTCTCCTCCCGTTACCCTGGTTACAGAAGAAAAAGATGTGGTTACAGGTGATGTTAAGATGAAGAGCTTGGAATCATCTTTGAGGAGGCGAGTTTGCTCAATCGGAAAAGCGTATGCCTGTCGAACCAAAGATCCCGGGTTTGAAGCCTGCGTTGTGTGTTAACGTGCCCCTTTCCTTGTTCATAGACGCAGGTTATGTCAAGTGGAAAAAACTCTGTCCCTCGGATAGGTCATAAAATGGAGGCCCCGTGTACAGGAGAGTCACCACCCTTGCACGTTAATAACCCATTGCCCTATTCGTATAACAGTAGGGGGAAACCCTGGTGTAATGGTCCACCTGCACACCCCAACCAGGCCGAGTATACGGCATAGATCTGCAAGAATCTTCAGTATTGAAGGAGGCAGGTTATCTTGAAGAAGAAGAAGAAGAAGAAGGGTCAATTATACATTAAGTAGCCATGCTGAGTAAATTTGTACATTTTCATAGTACAATCAATATGACATGACTAGCAAACTTTCTCTCTATTTCTTTTTTTTTCTGGGGGGGGGGGGTAATTAAAAGCAATTTTTATTCAAGAAGTGTGCATACAAACATCCCTACTTTAAGAACTACAGTGTGGTAATGATCCTGTGCTACTGTAGTACATGTAAGCGTGAATATCATTAGAACATAATCTCTTAAAGTGTTATTTTATGAATATATCTCAACTACCACAAGACTTTCCGATCGGTGCATTGAGGCAGATTAAGCTACCGGTAATGTTAATCGCCAATTTTCACCCAAGAGCAGTTAAGCATGATAGAGGCATATTCCTGGAGAAATGGCAGCCACAACCACTAATCTATTATCTATTACCAGTCGATAATCTATTCTGCTGCACATACTTAATAGAAAAAGGACAAAATACATCTACATCAGAGGCAATTTTTACTACATGTACATACAGTACATTTGAACATCTATAAGTATGAATGTATGTAAATACGCAATGTACTGTTATTAGCTAATCCACTACCTTAAAGGTACTATGTCCCATTTGCAGGCCAAAAAAATGAAAAAGTTAAATTCCAACTGCATTTGAAAGATAATACTAATTTAGAACTTCCCTAAAAAAGGTGGGGCTTGAAAATGTCTTCAAGTGGGAAAATAACGACTATTAGTTGTCAAATCGACTTTAAGAGCTATAGAGCCCAAAAGTAATAGTCTTGATTTTCAGACAATTTATTGTACCGAATGGTCATACGTTTTATGGTGCGCAAAGATTCAATCAGTTTAATCTTGGCCATCACAAGAAGTGGGTTATTGATGTAGACAAATGCTCATGTACAACTCTTTTCATGTATGTTATTACCTAACAAGAAAAAAAGCCAGTCAGTCACTCAATAGTGTCTGACAGTGAAGTCTAGCAAGTAAACGGGTTTCCTTGCATAATTTGAATATATGAGGACACTGCTAACGTTTAAATTTCACAGATCGGACATACATGACATATTCATAATTCCTGCAAAGTTCTACAGAATTTGAGGTTGGCTGCAAAAGGGACATAGTACCTTTAATGTATAATGTAAATTGTTCAACCTATTTTTACTAAAGATACATTAATATATTGTAGTGTGAATATAAATGTTCATGTACAGTATAGACCTAGATTTAATGTTGAGTGTCAGTCACATAAAGATCTGTCACGTTCGTTCAGTGGTAGAATTGACACCTCCCACTCGGCAATGAGCAGGATAAAGGAAAGAGCAATTGAATCTCTACGGATTTCCTCCTCTACATCATACGGAAATCGGCTATCTAGACAAGAGTTATCAAATAAATGAACCTGAGCTACTGTTGTTTGCTTTATTTGTACTTTTTCTGCTTGCTTTCAAGTTTCAGCCATTTGTATATCATGGAATATCAAAGAGCTGGGTATTTGCTCCAGTGCTTCATCGATCCTGTCTTCCCCTTGATCAATCTTTCTCTCTTGTCTGCTTTCTAAATCCGTCTATCCTTTCTGTTTTCTCTGACAAAAGTGACCCACAAGCTCTCAGCCCCTCCCTCCTCCCCTTTATCTACCCTCCCCCTCTTCCCCTCTCCAGTTTTGGGCAATAGTTTCATATAAAACATGTGAAGTGTTTATCCTTCTTTTTCTTCTTTGACAAAAAAGGCCCTCTAGATCAAATCTCCTCCCTCCAGCTGCCTTCATCTTATACCCCCCCCCCTTCCCCCCCCCCTCCCCCCCCCCCCCCCCCAAGCCCCTCTCTGGTTTTGCCATGTTATGTGTTTCTTATAACTTTCTACAAGACTTTGACATCGATCAAGTTTTACATCTTCTGTTGAGTTGAGAATGTGAGTCAATGCTCTTCTTGATCTCAGTCTCCACAGTCTGCAATATATATAGGACCACTTGCAAATATATCATTCAGAGTTGGCATACAAGGAATTTACCCCTTCCACAAAAAAGGGGGGATCGATGGAGTGAATTCAAATCTAGTTGGAGGAAAGGAAATAAAATATTCAATCATCGTCCTGTTTTCCTGTACGTTGTAAGCTAATTCCTACATTGTACAAATGGTATAGATGTGTATTAATGAATGAATTTACATATAATCTATAGGATTTCCTAAAACATGATATGTGTATACATATTATGCTTCGACCTACATGTATTGCTTTTTGTCTCAACTTGGTGAGATACAATGACAGACACCCGATATCTTTTTCGACCATCAAAAGATCCTTGGTGTCAAAACAACGACACTTCTGCTGGTATATACATGTACCCAATGAAAAATCAAACTAGTCGGCATATACCTGTACAAATGTATTTCCTCCTCCAACAGCAGAAAAATAAGGAAATATTGAATCACTCTGCAGAAATGCCACAGCTAAAAATCATCATAAGCTCACTAATGAATAAGGAAGAGGAAAATGAGCTACGCATCTTGTGTGGTGTTATTAAAAACGTTCAACCTTTTAGCAGTGACAAATATGAAACTACTCAATAAAACTATTAATACAGGTACATACGTAGCTACTGCATGTGACTCCTTAAATGTGAATATATCAGAGATACAATCTAATGTATTTTTCTTTGCATTACATTGTATCTCTGTCAAGTATTTTTAACTGATTTTGGCAGTCACTTTGTTTATTCGATGTCCATCCCTGGATATCAAACATATGTCAAAGTACTTTACTATTTTCTTTTTTTCTTCCCTCTTTTAAATTTTAAAGTAGCTGTACAGGTAGGACTAAAAACAGATTTTTTTTTTTTGGTAGGTGTGTACAACAGATAACGTGTAGCATTCGTGACATCTTTCATTAAAACTTATTTCCCTGAAAAAAATTATTAAAAAATCTAGTCCTCAGTTGCATCAATATTTGCCATCAATATTAACTTATAACTACCAAGGTAACATCACTGAACAGCCAATCAAATCAAGGTTTCCATGGAAGTTACCATTAATGGCAAAATTACCATCAATGGTAAGTTTTATGATGGGGCCAGGGTAGTAAAGTTTGCATTTTTTCCTTCTCCATATCTGTCTGGAAATTAATTATTATTAAAGCATCACCATGATTCACCACAATGCAGCCTTCTGCATACATGTTTACGCCTAAATAAATGTAGTTTACGCCTAAATAAATGTAGTGACAACTCGTTTTTGTGTGTCAGGGACTGGCACAGATGTGTAGAACATCTGGCATTCAATTATTTCCTTCCTTCATATATGATGTATTCCAATGCAAATGTACATTGAACTACTGTTGAACAAATACCGGCACGTGTGAATTTTGCCTTGGCCTAATTCATTTCATTTGATTTTTTTTCCTTTGTATTTATTACTATACTGCATGGGTGAAGGTGAAAATGTTTACAATATGATAAATGATGTGCTATAGCATACATTTCATCTGCATGCAGTGAAAGGGCTCTATACTGTACGCTAATTTTACATGGAGTGTTGATTGAAATCTTTAGGGTTTGCAGTCTGTGTACATTGTACGTGTAGGTATGTTGGGGGGCCCTTTTTAATATCAGGCTGAATTATGGAAGGGATGTAACTTATATGTACTGAAACTTTAGAATGAATGCCTTTCTGACTGTCAACAGATGACATGAAGTACAGTATAAAGAACAATTCATAGGGTAGTCTGAGCTACAGGCCACTGAACGAATGCCCTAGAGACGGACAGCACGCAAGACCGGCACTGTCGGTCTAGTAAACCTTCTGACAAGTGTTCACCAGACCGACATTGTCAGTCGCATGGGCTGTTGGTCTCCCGGGCAATCGGTCTTGTGGGCCATTGGTCTCATGAGCCATTAGTGGACTCTCACTCTCCTGGGATGCTCAAATTTTTTGCTGGGACCATATGCTGAGAAAAAATGAAAACAAATCTTAACACAGCTTAAAGGTATAGACCAGTTCCGGGAATGTGATTGCATTGTGAAAGAAACGTTGTGGAATCAATCAGAAAAGGTTGATCATCTAGCATATACAGTGTAAGTATTGGTGTGTACTGCAAGATTCTGGAATCATCAAAATGGTAAGAAATTTGGCCCAGTCTTGGTAAAGTTATAACCACTGTACACAGAAAGATGTATATGGAACTATACGCGATATGTATACAGTCTGGATAGATATATTAATAGCGATCAGTAGGCGGTTTCCCGGCAAAATTTGTGTCATCACGTACATGTAGTTAGTCAATATTCTTTCACATGATTGGTAATAAGAGCTTCCATTTAATTTTTTTGAGAGGGGGGCATTTCCAAAACTGGTCTATACCTTTAATAACACCATTTCTGCTCTCAACAGATGATGCAGAGTGTCTGATTTAAAACAGACCAACAAAAATTAGTGAAGGTTGTCAAAAATTGACTCACAACTCAAGGATAAGCACCACCTCCTTCTGCAACTCGAAGGCATCATGCAGCGAGATGATGTTATCATGGGACAGCTCCTCAAGGATGCTGACCTCCCGGACGATATCCTCTCGTTTGACCCCTCTCCTGCTGGCAGTCGACCTCCGCTTCCGGATGAACTTCCCCGCGTAGTCCTTCCCCGTGCTCTTCTCGGTCACTTTCTTCACCTCAGAGAACTGGCCACTGGATGGAAGGAAGGTAAAAATAGAATTGGAAAATGGTTTATTTTTGATGATTTTGTTTGTCTAGAGGACATGCTACAAATCATTAGTCACAGGTCACAGGTGGTCTTAGATGAACTGGGGGATGGTTCACAAAGATTCTAATTTGAACTTATCTCTAAGTTGGACTTTTAAATTATGGAGAGCCATTTGTAGTCTTTAAATAAAAATATGTTTAAAAGCACAAAGTCAAATATTTTAGACTTTTCATAAATTCCACATCAAGAACATGAAATCTCCCATGATAATAGAAAATATGAATGATTTGAATCAACATTGTACGCCTTTCAAAAGACTTTTACAACATATTTTCAAAGATGCTAACGGCTTTCCATAATTGTTAAGTCCAACTTAGAGATAAGTTCAACTTAGGATTTTTGTGACACACCCCCCTGGTCCATCAGGGAGTTTAAGGACAGGGATATTCTTGAAAGCCGTCTAATACACATTGGGAAAGGTATAAACTAGGGGCTCAAATACATTGAATAGTCCACCAAATATGAATTTCAGAAACATTTTATATGAACACAATTTGCAGAGCAGCTATTGACAATCATCCCTCAGATAGGACTTCAAGCTAGAGGTCTCCTCCTTGCTCAAATACGTAACAAATTATTTGCTTTTATCACAATAACCCTCATAAAATAATTAAGAAAATGGATTTCATCTCTCTTTGAAATTCTGAAATACCTGTATATATATTTTGACAGCAATCCCATTTAAAATCACAACACCATACATAGTACAAGTAAGCTGTATACATACTGTATTATGACAGCAATCCCATTTAAAATCACTTTACAACACCATACATAATACAAGCAAGCTGTAATAGAGCATATAACCTAATTACAGGATTCCCCCTCCCACTTGATCAATAATGATTAACATGCGTATGATTGACATAAACTTCATTATTGATTTTGCTTTCAGCGTAATTGCCATTCAAGTACACTTTTCAGGAACGCTATATAAGCACTCTAAACATCTGTGCTGAATTTGGCATGCATGCGTGCCTGTACAAGTTCAGGTACATTTAACAATACTGTGTCACTAAAATACAGGGGAGCAGTGAGTGATCTAACTCTGGGAAGCTTGAAAAGATCTCCTGGATATAAAAACATAAAAAATAAAAAAATTGGTCAAAAACAATATTAATAATTAGAAATTTTTTGAATACCAATTAAAAAAAGTCTCATCAGCATCAATGTGTTCTTTCCAAGGGCCCTGCAATTACCCTAGCAATTGCAAGGTACACCAGGGAATAATTTTCCTGGTATCGCATCGCAATTTGCTATGCATTTTCGCATGACTGCTATACAAAATATCTTTTGTGTAGCAGTTTTCTTCCATAGGAATGTACAGAATTTCATTTGAAATATTTATCCATCGGCTGAAATTGCTAATCAAAAAATTTGAGGAAAATTATTCCCTGTACACCTTGGTGAAGAGTGGAAAATGTGGACTATGTCGTCGGAAGACGTTAGTGCTGGGCTAGGATTTGAACCCTGAACCCTTGGATTGACATTTTATAGATGCAATGGAATGAAACATGTACATGTAGTATACCATTGTATCACAACACCTCAACAATAAAGTGGATGAATTAAAAATACAGTGAAACCTGTCTGTAATGACCACCAAAGGGAGACAAGAACAGTGGTCTTTATAGGCAGGTGGTCTTTACATGTACATACAGGTACCTTACATGTGTCAATAAGAAACCATTTTCAAGGGAAATTTGTTTTTAATGTGGTCTTTGTAGACAGGTGGTCTTCTTATATACAGGTGGTCACTAAAGCAGGTTTGACTGGATGAGAAATAAAATTTTGTTCAACCCTATGCCTGTACCAATTTAAGAGGGTTCCCAAAAGAAAACAAGTGGTAGAAGTGGAACAAATAACAAAATAGAAGTGTTTATATAAATCTCTATTTTTATCATTCCCATGTTTAATGATGGAGAAGGTTAATTATGTGTAAATCTACTTGTTTTCTGCACACAAAAAATGGTTGGAATCCATTGCCACAGTCCTGTTTTCGACCTTCTACACGTATATAAACTCATAAAGAGCTGTAAACACTTTGTACTGTTCATGTAGCACCATACAGTCACACTCATCACACCCGTAAACCCTGGCTGTCATATTCATTCCTAATCAGACGCCGGAGCGTTTGGGAAAGTGACAGATGAGACAGACAGACACATTTAGATATTGATCATCTCAAGAATAAACACCATGATCTGCTTCCAATTCTCATCCAGTCTACCCAAAGTTCCATCATCGCCACTATACACTTCCACTCATCACCACTTCATTGCAGTGAGCTTTAAAGGGAAAGTCTACCCCCAAAATAAGTTTGTTTCGATAGAGGCAGAATAATAAGAAAATCAGGTGAGTGAAAGTTTGAGCAAATTCTGAATGAAAATAAGAAAGTTATGAATTATTGAAGTTGTGATCAATCAAATACAAATTGGCAACTCTGTGACTTATTATACGAGCTCTCCTTCATTTGCTTTGTGCATAATATTCCATAAAATCATGTTTTCTTCGTTATTGATGACGGAATATATATTTGTTTCTTGCAGGGGGAGTATAGAAACATATTTGCAATTATTATATTTAGGGTGCATGTATGGTTGAAATTTTTCTTGAGGGAAAATGAAAATTTTAGATTTTTTTAGTACTGAGCAAATGGAAGTTGAGCTCGCATGATACGTCATAGAGTTGCCAATTTGTGTTTGTTTGATTGATCACAACTTCAAAAATCCTAACTTCCTTATTTTTAATCGGAATTTGCTCAAACTTTCACTGACTTGTTTCTCTCATTTTTCTACTCCTATTAAAACTAACTTAATTTCAGGGTGGACTTTCCCTTTAAAGACACTCTTTCACATTTCGGTGTGAAAATAACAAGTGGCTGTATAGTGCATTTCAATCTATAGTTCCATGATATACATTGGACAGTGCCAGGAGTCTGGATAATTAGTGTCCAAGGATAATTTGTCTTCTTTTTGTTTGTGTACTTGTTTTGAAGTGTCCTTGTTTTCTGAGTGCTTTTTTGGAAGACAACAATCATATGGAGTCTATTAATATGGACCAACAAAAGAAGTTATTATTTCTTAAAGAAGTTATTCACAAGATGTTTGTTTTGGGGGCTGTCCATCATGTAGCCCTAATTTGGTAATTTTAAATAGGATCTTCAGTTTTCATCATGGTAACTATAACGTTTTTTTAGAGAATTCAACAAAATTTATAAAAAATATGAAGATGATATTAACACAAATGTAGAGCTGTCAATGGCACAGAAAAAGTTAAATACATCTGAGAAAAGGGCATAGAAATAAGGAAACAGGCTCTCTTATTCACCACACTACTTGTAGAAGACATACTGTACATGTACGTAGTCAACATTTGTGTTGATACTTGGTAGATGTAAATTTAGTTTGCTTACACTGTAAATAACACAAACTGCATCATTATCATTTGTCATTTTCTCTACCCCCTCCCCCCGCGCCCCCCCCCCCCCCCAAAAAAAAAAAATTTAAAAAAAAATTTAAAAAATCTGTTAGCAGTAGGCCTACTCCGGATTACATGTACCTTCCCTCTAAAACATACAAAATACAAATCCCAAAACGCTCCCTCCTACACAACCACCATCCAGACAACCTCTCGTTCTCGTCCCCCCTCCCCCCTCCCCCCCCCCCTCTCCTCCCCCACCCTCTTGTTCCCGACATCGTGATCGTGTGGCCCCATGATTGAGTATTCAGCACACAGAGCGCCCGGCTTGAGTTACCCAGTCTGCATAGCCTCTCGGCATGTCAAATTGCTTCTAACAGCAATCAATAGTAACGTCATCACTTTCCATGTTCTTCAGATGCACTTCCAGGGCCTAAAAAGCAGACCTTTCAGAGTGAGGAAAAAAACGGCCTATAATGTCTCAAAGGAATTCCTTCTATACTACTATCTGACTTCTCAAGGTATAATATAATTTTGGGAATTAGCGTTCATATTCCTGTACAATCATGTACGGTTTCCTTGTCATTAGTGCAGGCAGTATATTTTCCCTTATTAATAACATCCTATTTCATCTGCAATCAATAGTAACGTCATCACTTTCCATGTTCTTCAGATGCACTAACAGAACCTCAATTTCAGAGTGAAAAGAAAAAGCCTAAAATGTTTTGAACGAATTCCTTTTTTGGTACGTACGTACGTCATCATCCTGGAATGACTGTAAATGTAAAGCATAAATCAACATGAACATTCATGTGAGTTTCCTTTTCATATTGGATTTCATGTCTGCATGTAGTATGGAAATGTCGGAGTACATGTATGTGCTTCAATAAGACCTTCCACTACAATATATATACATGTACATTGTATGTACACATCATTGAACAACACATGTACACATGTAGTTGTACTTAAATCGAACACGTTTTTGTTTGTTAAATATGATGACGGATTTTTATCAAGGTTATCTTATTGATTGCTGACACAAACATTACAAAATGACAATTTTTTAATGCTTCAGAGTTCACGGTATCATTTTCCAATTTTAAAAAAAGTAGTCTGTAAAATATACTGAAACTCTCTTCAGTATAGGCCTACATTCTCATAAATTTGTTTAGTCTAATTGCTCTGTAGTGATGATGCTCTGTTGTTCATACTGTATATTTTGATATGTTGTTTTTGAGGGTGAATAAAGACTGAACTGAACAGTTCATGCACACAATGTATAAAATGTGAACCATTTTCTTTATTGGGGGTTATTCTCTATTTGAAAGACTCTCCCAAGGCATTCAAGGATCCATGTGTGCGCAGAGCGCACCCAATCCCAGCCGTCGGCACTTCTCCCGTCAAGTGCGACGGGCCCCCTGGTATAGGATCCATCCAGTCGACGCACCCCTTGTGAATCTACTCATGTTCTTTGTAGAACATTCTCAATGTCTTCGCCTAC